CCGAGAGTGCACCAGTGTACTCCAGCCTGGGTGACAGAGTGAGACTCCGTGACACACACACACACACACACACACACACACACACACACAGTGGAGACCTCTAAGTATAACATGCATTTTGAAATCGTGAATTTGTGTGATGTTTCTAAAAGGTCTCCTACTCATACCTATTTTTAGACTTTGTAACAAAATGATCTTAAATTAGTATTACGGAGCACAGTATAAAATTGAGAGTAGCGGCCGGGCGCGGTGGCTCAAGCCTGTAATCCCAGCACTTTGGGAGGCCGAGACGGGCGGATCACGAGGTCAGGAGATCGAGACCATCCTGGCTAACACGGTGAAACCCCGTCTCCACTAAAAAATACAAAAAACTAGCCGGGCGAGGTGGCAGGCGCCTGTAGTCCCAGCTACTCGGGAGGCTGAGGCAGGAGAATGGCGGGAACCAGGGAGGCGGAGCTTGCAGTGAGCTGAGATCCGGCCACAGCACTCCAGCCTGGGCGACAGAGCGAGACTCCGTCTCAAAAAAAAAAAAAAAAAAAATTGAGAGTAGCTAAAAGAGCTGTTGTTGTGAGAATGAACATAATGAAGATAATGAAGCCCATATAGGCTGCATAACCTGTCCAGTCATCCAACTAATGGTAACCATATATTTTAAGTTAATTTTTTTCTCTGAAAGCTGTATTATAATTGGTTATAAGCAGACTTGAATGTTTCTCAACCATAACGACACTAGAAGCATTATTAATGACACAGGACCTTAGAATAGGATCTTATTTCAATAATCCCAAATTGGAAACAACAATTGGGCATCAATGTGAATGGATGCACAAATAGTAGTATATCCTTCCAGTGGAAATGAAAGAAGAAAATAATCTACATACTATTGGTATACACAATAAATATGAACCCGAAAATCATACTGTTGAATGGAAGAAGCCAGCCCCCCTCAAAAAAAGGATACTTATTGTATGATTTCACCAATATAAAACTGTAGAATAGAGAAATCTAATCAACAGAGGCAGAGATCTGTTAGTGGTTGCCTGCAGATAGGGGTGAAGGTAGTGACAAATCACAAAGAGGCATAAGGCCCTTTTAGGGGGTGATGAAGATGTTCATTGTGTTGCTCTTAGTGATGGTTTCACAGATGTATATTTAAATCAAAACTGATTAAAAAAAAAAGTGTGTACCTGTAATATGTGCAATTTATTGTATCTCAATAAAGTTGGTAAGAAAAAGCCTTATTATCCAAACCTGTTTCATAGCTCCTTTACACAGATAAGGAAAAAAAAAAAAAAGAAGTATAATACTTTCTTGTTAGCAACAGTGAGCCCAGGAATTTCAGGTACTAAGTAAGAGAAGTAATGGGAAAATTATCTAGCTCATAGCCTTAAAAAAGGTTTAATTTATTTCATAATAGTGCTTGCTTGGAGATTAATGAAAAAGGTATCAAAGCTTAGAAGAACGGGTCACTCTACAAGTAATATAAGCCAGTTAAACACAGTTCAATTTTCTCTTATATATCGTTAAATGAATGCTGTCATTAACTATGATTTAAATGGGTATGTTGGAAACAGATTTTCATTTTCATCTGGAACTTCTTGGCATTCTAATAAATAAAAAGCCCCGCTTACAGTCTGGTAATGTCTGGAGAGCAGTGGCTGGCAGATGGAAATCACTTAAATGTTTGCCGAGTTTATTTCAGATTGGCCAAGATGCCAGGCCAGACTTTGCTGAAAAGTTATTGTTAGTTCAAAGTACTAGAACTTACTGTCTAGTCTAGAGTTCTTCAAAGTTGAAAAATCTATGAAAGAAAAAAAAAAAAACTCCTCACTTCACCCACTTTAAAAAAAATGCCTCTCTTCGGCACAAATATAAACTTTGCTTATGACCTTTCTTCAACTATAAAACAAAAATTTAAATTTAATGCACACAGAACTACAAAATCAGTAACATTTAAAACTGAGTTAACTTGACAGATGTTGTTTTGCTAAAACTAAATGGCCTCTCAAAGTGAATATTGTATGGACTGCTATGGCACTGGTTTCAAGTTTTGTTTAGTTTGTTTTTAAGTACAGCCTATTTATTACCTATGGGCCCTGTGATACCTCTTCTCTGCCACTTACCTGTTTGACACTGTTTCCTAACTTCCCAGTCCCTCAGTTTCCTTGCCTATAAAGTGAAGATTACCATATTTATCACAAACACAAGCAGTGTTTTAAATGCTTTAACTATACTAACTACTTTCATCCCTGTAACAACATTGTGAGGTGGCTATTATTATTATTATTCCTATTTTTCACACAGAGTACTTGAGGCTCAGGAAAAGTCACTTGCCCAAAGGCCACATTACCAGTAAATGAGTTAGAATTTCAAACCAGACCTGCATGGTTAACCACTATCCCATGCCGTCTCTCATACTGTCATAGCTTAAAATAGCTCATCAAAATTAAATGCATTAATATATGTAAAGTACTTAATATTATGTGTGGCTTGCAGTAACAGTCAATAAACGCTGGCTGTGATTGTTTTTCTCATATCTCCCATTACTTTTCTTTATGAGTGCAAGTGATGTCCCATAGACCTTCATTTGGCAAGAATGCATCACATACTAGGTCCACATCAGTTCTTTTCTCACTGGCATGGCCCAATTAAAGTGATGAAAGCATCAGTGCACTCATGCAACTTGATGCACCATATGAGCCCAGAAATATCACAGCACTAACCAAAATAAATGCACATTAATTTAGGTTTATATGATCTTTGAAATAAATACTGGTGGACACCTGAGAATATATCCAAGGAATCCTTTCTCCCCTCTCAAAGACTCAATTTATAAAACTGCTCATTATTTTTCACTTCTAAGAGATCACATGATGGGCCAGGCCCAGTGGCTCATGCCTGTAATCCCAGCACTTAGGGAGGCCGAGGCAGGAGGATCACTTGAGCCCAGGAGTTCGAGACCAGACCTCCCTATGGGCAACATAGGGAGAACCGCCCCCCGCTGACCCCCATCTCTACAAAAAAAAATCTTTTTAAAGTAGCCATCATGGTGGCTTACACCTATAGTCCCAGCCACTAGGGAGGTGGAGGCTGCAGAGAGCTGCAACTCCAGCCTGGGTGAAGAGTGAGATCCTGTCTCAAACAAATGAGAGAGAGAGGGAGAGTGAGTGAGAGTGAGAGAGAGAGAGAGAGAGAGAGAGAGAGAGAGAGAGAGAGGACATGTACTAGCTCTGTACTGCTTAAAATAATTTTTGTCCCTGGTGGATTGATCCTTTGTCTCCTTTGCGCCCAACACAGTACCTGGCAAACAGCGAGAACTTACATGTTTGCTTAATTGAATCCCGGAGCCATCAAAGGCAGGGAGCAATTACCCAGAGACAGGAAGAACTGAAAGACTGAAATGCCAAATAGGTCAGAGAGAACCATGCAGTACAATGTAAACTCTAACCCAAATTCCCAAATTCCAGGCAAAGAACACATCATTGATATACATAGCTGTGACTGACTTAAGAGTAGTTGAAATCAGATCGAGTGGGCTCAGCTCATCAGCACCTGTTGAGTTCAAACCTGATTTTTTTCTCCTTCGCATGTAGAATTTCCTTGTCTCTATGAAGAATAAATCTGCCTTATTCTCTAGGATCCCACATTTCGGCCTGGCTACTAAGTAAATAAAACTGGAAACTGGGAAGCCTTATGCTGCAATGACTGGCACCTCTGCCATTTGAGGACAAACATAGCCATCCTATTATTGAGTTTAAAATCACCACATTAATTGCCCGGAGTCCCACGCATCCCCATTCCCGCACCGTGAGGGTGCAGGAGAAGTATGCAGTCACGCTGATGTCACCTGCCAGGTAACGGGACTCGGCAGGGAACTCCTCTGGGACGTCCACTCGGGGACTCCGGGGAAATATGGCTTCTGGCTCATCCTCGGGGTTCCCCGCTGGGACTCAGCACAGCGGAAGTGGGGCACGCACTGGGAGAGTGGACAAGAAAGCGCGAAGGAGCGCGATTAGAAGGTCGCATCTGTGCAACGTGGGTCAAGGGGTGGGTGTGGAGGCCTCGTCAATTTCCTTGTCTCTCTAGGGTTCCTGAGGCTGTCAGAGCTTCTGGAAGCCAGGGAGGCCCTGGATGCGGAAGTCTCAATGCAGCAAACTACAGACCTAGTTCTGTGCCCTTATGAAGCACCTCTCTCCCTAAGGGCGCCCTCCACTCCCAAGCGGGGGCGGGGATCGGCAAAGGATCCAGATCATTCGGCCTGCGGAAGTCTAAAGGGCCATTTAGACACCCGCCTAAGAACCTGAAACTACCAGGACCGAACGCAGTCAAAATCCCCGGGGAGCAGTGAAGAATTCACACACTGGGGCCCACACCTCGGGACGCTCGCATTAATCTAAGGCGGGGCGTGGAAATCCTTACGTTACCAGAAGCGGATTTAGAGGCCGAGCCTCTGTAACTACCTCTCCTGTCCCAGTACTGCTTCTGCCTCCCCACCTCTCCGCCCCCGCAACCCTTCCCAGACCAAAGGGAGAAACGCTCTTTCCCGGTTCCAGGCTGCCAACCTTGCAGAACCGCAGCCAAAGGTCACGCAGGCCAGGGGCGCCCCTCCGGATCTGCCACGCCCCCCGGCCAGGCTGGCCGCGTCGGCGTCGCAGCCCAGCACCCGTACCTTTCCCGATGACTTCCAGCAGCTCCTTCTCCTCCTGGGTCAGCTCGCCTTTCTTTATGTGAACCATTGCTCCCGCCAGCTTGAAGGTTATTCTGTTTCTTAGGAAGTATTAAAAAAGAAAAGATGCGTCTGTATTGGGAACGCCAGCCGCAAAGAGGCAACTTGAGACCAAGACACTGAGTAGCCAACCGCGGAAACGCTGCGCTTCTCTCCTCCCTCCCGCGGGCTGGCGGACAGCGGGCGAGCTCGGGCGAGCCAGGCTGGCGGTCTCTGCAGGCCCAGCGGCAGTCACCGCCCGCCGCCTGTCATTGGCCCGGCCGAGGAGGAGGAGCCGCAGGAGGTGGTAGCAAGAGATCGCCATTGGAGAAACCGGGGAGGGAAAAGCCAAATGCAGAAAGCTGAAGGGGGGAATTAAATTCCTCTTATACGTTCCGCATCCCTATACTGTCCGGTTCGAATATTTCGCCACATGCAATATTGAAAATGCTACAGCTGGCAGTTCTGTGCTCAGCGACGGCTTTTTGGGGCGTGCAGAGGTTCCCAGTTGTCGCCGTACCCCCACTATACCCCCAGGAGTGGCGCGGTCTGGGCAGGGGCGGTCTGGGAGGCGGGGGCGGTACGGGAGGCGGGGCTGCGCCGGGTTCCGTGTGTCTATGTCAATGTGTCTGTCCTTCACTCCTCCATTGTCTGCTGCCGCTGCTGCCGCTGCTGCCGCTGCCGCTGCACGAATCGCCGCAGCCCCCAGCCTTGCGCGTCGTCGCTACCTCCTCGGACAGGTGAGAAGCAGCCCAGGTGAGACAAGGGGTGCCAGGAGGGTTGCGAGAGCAGCGACTGCCGCCCCGCCGGGGCTTCCATCGGGCCGGAGCTAGCGGAGAGGAAGCATGTGCCTCCTGGGGCGGCTTCCTGCCTCGGGGTGGAGAAGCCCCCGCTCCACCTCATCATCACCGCGCTTACGGGGTGTCAGTGACCTGGGATGAAGACCTCCGACTCGCAACGTTTGGCCGCCCCGGGAGACCCTGGGACCGCAGGCGGGCGGGTGCGGGCCAGCCACGCGGTGAGAAGTGGCGGGTGCACATGGTCTCGTGCGTGGCACCGCCAGACGCGGCTCCCGGGGAGGCTGGGGCCAGGGCTCTGGGCTAGGGGTCGGGAGGAGAGCGCCCCATTACTAGCGAGTCAGTGAGGACAGACTCGGGAGAAGGTAGTTTTTACGTTGGTAATCCTCGCCCTCCCCACTACTTGTCATCTCTTTGGCCTCTGTGGAAGCTGTAGAAGAAAACCGGACCTGATCGCCTAGTGTTGCTTGTTAAGGATGTTTGGAAACAATTTACACTTGCACTAATACTTCGTTTATGAGAGACAGCCTGGGGGAGGGAAGGGCTTCTTTGCTCTGCTAGAGTTCTTGGTTCTCTTTGTAACTCAGATCTTGAGATTTATGGAAATAGGGAGTGGAGGGTGGGGAGGTTGGAGAGGGCGGAGATTAAATTGGTGTTGCTGCCTATATATAGCCTTAGATTAGCCTCTTAATCCAACCTTCATTCAACTGTAATATGTAGCCTGGAGCTTCAACCGTAGGTAGATGGGGGTAAATACAAGTGTGTATTTAGAAATAAGATTTGCTTGCTAAAATGTGGGAATCAGTGATTTCTCCAGGGTACACATTTATATTTACATCATCAATGAAAGTTTCTTTGAAAATTAGTGTTTGTGTTTTACTGTTGTTTCCCTACAGAGTAGTATTGATGTTTCTCTCAATATGTGTGTCAAAGAGACATGTATGTGTCAAAGAGAAATATTTGAATAATTATGTAGGTGGTTTTTGTTAAGCATCCCCAGGACCACTGTTTCTTCTCATAGTGCCATACAAAAAGCGAAATCCATTTTCCTCTGGCCTTAGGCGTTTATTTTGTGTGAAGCTTTCACTAACACATCTGAAATCTCCTGGAATATGTTTATCATTATTTCCTGCCTTTAGCAAAAATCTTTCCTAAACTCCAGCTGTTTTTGCCCCCTAAAGCTTTAGCTTCAAAGGCTGGGACAGATCTGAGCCAGAACATCTTACATGAAAATGGTTTGAAATTATTCATCTCAGTGTATAACAAAGATACTTTTGTTGGATGATGCTTTAATAATGATGTGGTGTTCAGGCAAGTAGTAAGGCTTCTGAGAGTGACCGATCTTTTGTAATGCTGTTAGTTCCAGAGTTACAATTGATTTATAATATAGTATCATGCGGAAGAAACCCACAAACCTAAAAAAACGCTTGAGTAGTAACCTCCTGGATCATGTGATTTAGCATCTTATCAGCAGATGCATCCACAGAATTGGGTACTTCATTGCTAGTATTTCCATCTCTTGTGCCAAATCTGGGCCATGGTTACTTGAAGGTCACACCTGTTTGTCTCACTGGGGTTGTCAGTTCCTCGAGGATAGCAACTAACTATTTTCTTGATGCCTTATGACACTAGTTTGGTATTTAGTGCTCTCTGAATACATGACCAGTGAATTTAGAGACAATAACATTGAAAGAGAATCTAACATCTACCTAGAAATGCAGATAAATCATGTTCAGTTTACATTTCTAGAAACAGATTCATAATGGGTACTGTTCATTAGATGGATTGATCACATTAGTAGTTGTATGGTGTAAATATTTAATGTAGGAATAAGATTAGATAATGAGCATATTAAAATAGATTCACGTCAAATAAGTTTTATTGATAATAAGATGGCTACTTCATATTGAGTATTTAGTCTGTGCTAGATATTCTACCAGATGCTTTGCATATAATTATTCTATTGTTATGACAACTCAGGAATTAGCCAATTTTATCCCCACTTCTGCAAATAAGAGGACAGAAACTAAGGGAAATAGTTTGTCCACAACCCCATATTAGGAAGTGTCAGAGTCAGAATTGGAATAATGATTTCTGAAATGTGTGAAATGTTGTATGTGTCCTCTCATATCTTTTTCTACTACTACCACTCTAGACCTATTGCAACGCATCTTAAGTAGCCTGCTTCTCTCTCACCTGTCTCTATCTAGCTAATTCAGGGAACTACCAGTTCAATAAACATTGAGCACCCATCATTCTGTGAATGGCTCTCCTCTGGCCACAGAATAGAGGGCTGGGTCTGGCCTGGAAGGTTCCCATCCATCCATGGTCTCAGCAGGCATTTCCAGTCATCTGGGCCCTCCCACACACTGAGCTCTAAGGTCACCACTCTGCTGGTTCCCCAACCTGCCGGTAATTTCCACCCCTTTGTTCCTGCTTTTCTCCTTCTCCGAATGACTTCCCTTCCTTTTTCACTGAATCTCCTCTCCAGATCTGATGAACTATTCAACTTTCCAGACACAATTTAAACAAAAACTCTTTTCTTCAGCTTTTGTGTTCATCTCTCTCTCTCTCTGTCCAGTAAGGGAAATATACGTGCTAGTAAATACATTTATTCATGTCTCTTGGCAAGGGTTATAAGTAAAATCTTTGTATGTGGAGGATATTGATATGCAACATGGCTACTGGTATCACTGCTGGCAGCCTTTAATTCTCTCTTCTTATGGATTCTAGCGAACCCTCTTTTACCACCCCCCCGCCCCGCCTAAATTGACATCATTGCTTCTTCATCTGAATCTCCATGAAAACACCTAAAGCAAGCACTTTCTCATCACATTCTATTATACTTATTATTATTAATCTGTTTGGTCCCTTCTCATTCTAGAGTATACATTAACTAGGTCAAATTTATCTTTGTTTCTAAAGGTTTAACCCAGTGTCTTGCACCTAGTGTATGCTCAGTACAAGCTGAGTTGAATTCAGTTTGATCTCTAAGTTATTTTAGGTGGATTTGTTTTCCTACTTGACTAATCCTTCCTGGCAATGTGAGGTGAGGTGGCACTAAGCACGCACAATCATAACCAGAGGCAGAAAGTCTTTAAATGTTTTGGATCTCAGGCTTCTCGACATTCTGATGAATGCTGTCAACCAAGAAAAATTGTTCCTATGCACATGTTACAAATTTGGCATGCCATTCTTAGATTTCCCCATTAAAGACCCTGATTTCCAGCTCTCTACATTAAGAGAATGCTGCCTTTTAATTGCATGTTTGAGTATTACATCTTTCAGGGTACTGTTTTTCTTGACATTTGACTTTTTTTCCTTAGACTTAGGTATCTTTATTAAGAAATTTTGATTTTTTTAAAGTTTGAAGTAGATTATGGTTGTATTTTTAAAAGATTACTTATCTTTTAGAGATAGGAACAGATTTATTGCAGAACTGGATGAGTAGACAGCTGAGATTTGCTTTAATATAATTCTGTGACAGAAAGGAAGAGAGACTGAATGAGAATATAAATGAGATAAAATTGACTATGTTAACAGTTGAAGATGGGTGATGAGTACATTCACTTGATTATACTGTTCTCTCTACTTTTGGATATATTTGAGATTTTCCATAATGAAGTTTTTAAAAAGAAAATTTGGAAGTATTACAGCCTCTAAGAAATCTTTTTTTTTTTTTTAACACAACATAAGAAAGTAATATGAATACAAATGTTCTTTTTTCTATACTTAGAGTTTCGCTTATGTGATTATTCGTTTAAGTGTTAAAACAGTTACACCTAAATCTGCAAAGAACTGTCTTGTGAACAATGCATTTCCATAAACATTTCAGATCACATTTTAACTTCTCCAAAAAATGAAAGATTGGTGGCATTACTCAGTGCTTGTAGAACAAATTGATGAATATCTTACTGGTAGTTAATCCCCATCTTTTTTGAAAATTGACAAAGTAATTTTCAGAAAATTTTGAAGAAGGGGTACAGATATATTTAGTTTAACTGAGAAAATCAAGAAGCGAATGAAGTGGAGATACTGATGTTCTTCTGTGTGTCATAATCCAACTCAGAAGGCATTCAAAAAAAAAAGAGTACCAAAACTGTTTTAAGCAATGTCAGCACTGTTAGGATAAGTATATTAGTCTAGGAAAATCAGGAGCAGGCCCAGGATAGGATGTGACTGGTAGGGTCTTACTCAGTGTTTGCTTAGCTGAGTACTTACTCTGACACCTACTTTATAATTTGTGCAATTTTTTAAACTTATTTTTTGATGTTTAAATTTTTTTTTATTGTGTTTTAGATATATTAAATGTCCTTTATAGCATGTCATCCTAGACTTTGGGATTTTAAAAGAATATTTAATTAATATGAAATCCACCAATATTAGCAGGTCATAAACAAGAATACTTTTCATTCTTAACTCACTCATGTCTGTGTATGGAGGCCATGACGCTCTTTAGCAAGTATCGTTTGGACAGTTAGGTGCCAAGTGGAATGATTTGCCCTGTTCTAAATTTGGCATGTATTAAGTGAAGAGTGCCAAAAATGTTCAGATAGTCATATTTGTAAACTATTTTGAAAATAAAGGTTTGGATATTCATTGAATGAACTATTCTTTGTTAAATGCCAAAAAGATGTTTTAATTATTCTGTCTTGATTTTTAGCAATAGGTGTTTCCATTGATGTTTTTTAAGTTTATGTCAAAAATGAAAGGAAAAAAGTATAATGACAATAAGAAAGAGTAAAGCGCTGTATTAATATTTAAGATAGTATAATCCTTTGGCTATCTTTAATCCTTTTAATTCTGAAAATATTAATATTTTAGTAGGAAAACAATAACTTAAGATGTAGAATTATTTTTTGTGTCAGATGTAGAATTATATCTTCTTTTCACATCTCAACTTATTTTTATGCTAGATGAGAACTGTAAAAAATATAACAGGT